GGTTTAGGGTTTAGGGAGAATGGTTAGGTGCCATGCCTCAGGGTTTAGTCTGATGAAAGCCCCTGAGCCCATTGCCCTTAAACCTATACACCGCAAAACCTCAGCACTTACCCCTAATGATGATCCCTCCCGGCCTCTTGACAAAAACTCCTGCTGAGGTACATCACGGTATATTCGGAATAGGGTGTTGTTTTTAAGGGAAGGACGAGTCTAAGTTCTAAGCGGCCAAAAGGCCTGTCAGCCTCAGATCCTTGCCCCGCCGTTGCAAACCCTGCCCCGGCGTGCCAACTTCGTTGAGCTCTAAGTCCTGAACTCCAAACACCAAACCCAACCCCAGACTCTATACCCTAAACTCCGCACCCATAATCATGAGCGCCGCATGACTGTACCTCCAGGAGCAGTCGAAACAAGACAAGCCTTTCAACATCAGCGAAAGTGCCGGGAGACTGTCAAAGATGTTCCCAGGTGCACCGGTCTCCAAAGACGTCCCCAAGAATAACTTTTAGGATTAGGGTTTAGGGCTTCCAGGGGTTCGTTATAACAGGGAGCGCATCGTATTTGGTGATATGTAGGGTGACTCTAACTCACTGGGGCCTACCAGATCTAGCAGCTTACTAGTTTCTACAGGGTTCTGAGTATAGGGCTTTAAGGCTTGCAGAGTTTGGGGCCTTAAAGCCTAAACCCTAAACCGTATGAAGTGCGGGGAGGGTTTGAGAAGTTTTGGGTGTGAACGGCTTTTTGGTGCAGGGTATTCCTTTTGCACTTGGGCTTCTTATCCGGGTTCAGGGTTCAGGGTTGCTTTCGATTCAAGTCTGGGGTTTGGTTTGTCACAACAGCAGGGTTTCGGGTTCCCCCCCTGTTTCCCTAAAAGAAATTTGTGATTTCTGTTGACTATAGGGGTTCCAAATTTCTCAGAGCAGGGTAGGAGGAGGACTGTTTTTGGCTTAATGGGTTTCTGAACACGCGGATGGGGTTCATTTACTCTGTCGGATCCTTTGGGGGGTCTGGGTTTGTGCGCCTGCTGACCCCCACGAGTGTTACACACATCCTAAGAAGCTGTCCTACAAATCCTCTGAGCCCGAGCATTTCGCTAAAACGACGCAACCCCCAAGCCCGCTACCTTGAATCCAGAACCGCAAGTCTTCACCCTAAAACAACATCAGCCTGGAACCCTAAACCTAGGCCGTCGCTATACCTTAAAACCCTATGCCTTGGACCCTGCACTATTACCTCTAAACCCTATACCCCAAACCCCTATGCCTCAGACCTCACACCCTATACCGCAGATCCTACACCATGTATGTCTTTCTAAGTAGGGGTGGGGAGGTTGTTGTAGATGGAGAGTATTTTTAATCCTTCTATAGGACTGTGCTAGTGGGCGGGGCGGGGGGAGAGCCCAATGTATCAGGCATGTCAGATGACATGAGAGCCCAGCTGGTCAACAAAACGACTGCTGCTTTGGAGGCCTCGTGATTTGGCTTTACGGGTTGGGGGCTTTCGGGTGCTAAGGGTTTTGGGGTTTTGGGTCAGGTTAGGGGCTGTAGTAGGGTGTAGGATTTCGGGGCTTCAGGGGTTTGGGCTCAAAGTTCAGGATTCATATGACCCCAGTGAAGGAAGTGGAGACCATCCCCATAAAACCCCATCTTGGGGAAACTACCTAGACCTCCAATATTTTGGTCTTGTATCCAGTTATTCTGGGATCAAAACCTTTAAGTGTGTGTTGGAAGGCCCAGGTAAGCCCCAAACAACCCTCGACCCTAAACCCTGAACNNCTGAACCCTGAACCCTAAACAATCTTGGGGAAAGCGAGCCCTTCATGGAGGAAGTGGAGCAATGCCGCGATGATCCGCTGTCAGCTGCCTGCAACCGAGAGCTGCTGACACAGTATGGACTTCGCATCTCTTCTAATTATGGGATCCTAGCCCTGAACACTTAACCCAGGTTCAAGGGGAGTAGCTAACCTAGTCATCTGGCCTTTGGTTAGCTGGGNNTACTATAATGGGTTATCTAGGGACGACTAGAAGGATCCATTTCTTGACTGCTAACCAACGGCCAGTAATGTTTCTGGTGCTCCCTAAAGGCCATAAAGTATGGCCATCGCATCTCTTCTAAGCACTGGGGGCCTAGAAGTTCTGCCGGGCTTTATATAGGGTACAGGACTTGAAGCATGTGGAATGAATGTCGAAAGTATTGCGGGCACAGGGCTTCATATGCCAGCTTTCTACAATTACTTTTGCACCCCGCTTTAGCGACAATCAGTTGTCACCACGTGGCACAACGTGGACAAGTGAGGCATCTATCCCTAAGCCCAGAACCATAAACC